GGGAACCAGCCAGGCAATGGTCTGCAGTCTCAGACAGTGACCCCTGTGCTCCAGCTCCTTAAATGCCATCTTGTATTTCTTAGATAGAAGAAGCACACTGCATCCAGCTGGTGTTTGATGTTTGCCTGTGAGCATATACATATAGACACCTACAGTCCTTTCCTGTGAAGTGAGAGTATTTTGTAAATGTAATGGAATACTGTTTTGGTTGGTTAGAAAACAGAGGCATATAAATACAAATCTAAGCCTTGATTAGTTTTAAAGTGACTATGTATAACTAAACATGGCCAAACTTGCTGTTTTTATTCATTTGTTTCTGTTTGGAATATTAGATCCAGTCTGAAGCAATGGCCAGCTACATAGGTGCATACATATCTCTGTTGCACAAATAAATCAAACTAAAGCAGCCCAGTTCTTGTAGACTGACATTAGGATAAGTATATCTTAAGAAAGTTCTTATTCAGACTTGGCTTCAGGCAATAAAACGTCATAGATGTATAACTCCAGTGAGTGAAATTTCTAGGGAGCAAATTAGGCTAAAAACGTCTTCTAGAGACAGCTAGAAAGAAATCAGACACCACCCAAAAATAAGGCAAGCTATGCAGTAAATGTTTCATTTATTGGATTTCTTCCATTACTATTAGGGTTAAAAGACATGTTGTCAATAAAAATGGCATATTTATGGAGGGCTCTGTATTTCAGAAGCCTATTTATTGTCATTCACTCCTATAGTGCTTAATATCACCTCATGATAAAGTGTGAATAATCCCTGCATGAATGCATATTTCTACCCATTAACCATTTTATTATTAGACAGAATTATCTCTAACAAAAGCAAGAGGTACAGCTGTGGTTGAGGTGCTAAAAGGGAGGTACGTTCCTACTGAGCCATAACCATGGTTTGGGAAGCAGAGCGTAGACTGAGAGACATCAGGCTGTGTTGTGAGGTTGAAAACAAACAAAGCTCAAGGTTTTTGGTACCTGACTTTCCAATGTTTCTCCACCAAGAGCGGACAGAAAGGCCACAGCTATCACTCAAATAACACACTGTGACCTATTCGGTACGTGTGAAATCCAAAGCCACAAAGAAACCTAGCAGTAGCACCACGACCTGGTTGTTTGTTGATATTTTCCTATTTGATAGCTTTCTTGAATTTTCACATGTGGTTGTTTGTGTTGATGCAAATGACTGCGGAAGGGAGCCATGGTTTCTGTGTTTTCGTGCTGTCATCTAGGCTGCCCTAGAAAAAACTAACTCTGGAAGAGCCAGTACTGGTAAGGCAGTGGGCAGATGTGTTTGCGTGGTGTTACTGGAACCGTTTCAATGTTGAAGCCTTTTTTTTTGACATTCAGAGCAGATTTAATGATCCAAGATTATTTGTAAACATGCAGACTCCTTTGAGCTGTAAACTCAAATCCCAGCCTGGTCAGCCAAAGTCCTTTTATCTTTCCAAAATAAATAGCTTGAATTTTACACACTTGCAACCTACACTGGGACCTTTTTGAGAAGACCATGAAAACGGATGACTAACCCCAGATATGTAAACATCCATCAGGAGATCCAGCTGGCAGTTAGCAGACCATATTTCTCCAATACAGACCTGGGCCTCTGGTGAGGCATAAAAGATTCCAGTACATTTTTCATAAAACAATGAATTTCCTTGGCTGCCTCTGATCAACCTCTTCCCTATCCAGTTCATTGCAATGTGAACTGGCAGGCGAACCTTCCATGCTTTTCTGCCATTCCTGTTCAAGATACTAAAGGATTCTTGGCACCACAATGTGCCAAGGTGTAGAACGGTGACACCGTTGTCAGTAACCAAACCCCATTGGTGCACTGTACCAAGTGGTGAGAGTTACAAAAGCTTGGAGAAAGGCACTTCCACTTCCTCATTTATGCTAGAGGTCAGTTTGGACAAGAAAGCCAACACCTCTTGAAGACTGAACTTGGAGCACCCTGCTTTGTCCTTCTGCTAGCTGTTATTTAAAATCAGGTATCCAAACAATAAATCACATTTTGTGCAGTAGATTAGCTTGACTATTTTCTTTAATAATTTTGTTTCTCTCACTGTTATATGCTATGCTTTTTTAATCTTGGGTACCACCTGAGAACCTGCTACTCAAACAGGTGCTATCGACCCCTGGAGAGCTTGCACTTCCCTGAGCATGAAACAAGGAACCGTTTCATAAAGGAAAATGATACCAGTAAGATGCATAAGCTATCCTAAGTGACTTGTACTACCTTAATTACACCGTGTAATTTTGTACTTGGACTTCAAACCTCAGCTAGCAATAAGCAGCAGTTTGAAAACAAAACCATAGACTGCAGTAGGAAGAACTTGATGTTACCGTGAAAGCTAGAAAGTGGTTTCCCAGCCCTTCACAGGGCTCCTCTGAATCTATTGTGAGGTCAGAATTCCAGCTGTGGGCAACACCTTGCACAGCTAGAGCACAGACCCTCCACCTTCCAACGTGAAGCTACCAAAGCCAACTTCTGTACATAGGAACTCCATGAACAACATGGCTTGTGAGAGCAGCGCTGAGCTCCCGTCTATCGGCATTTACTCATCCGAGTAACATGACTTGTGTGAGTCATCCAGGTGTGTCATCACCCTTGTGAGCAGCCTCTCAGTAATGTTACTCACATATGTAAGGTTCTACAGAATCAGGCCCTTCTTCTGCAACCAGCTCTGGGCAAGGACTGGGCCTGTCTAGAACACCAGCTTTTGATGATGCTTAATAAGTAGTTAGCAACTCCATTGGGACTGAAGCAAAAGTGTACTTGTTTAAAAAGAAACACACAACAGATTGTGAAAAGATCTTTGAAAAACAAAACTGTGCAAGTGTTTTTTGTTCATTTGGATCAAAATAGAACACATGGCCCTGCGAAGTAAATAGGAGTCTGTCACATTTGTATTTCTAGTCTCATATTGTTCTGGGATATAAAGGCATTTTAAAAATGAAAGGGCAAACAAAAATGCAGAATATTTGTTAAGGTGTCACTCTGCAAGGCACTAGTTAGCCAAGACAGTAAGTACATAATCAAGGGCAAATAGGGAGTGTGCATGCCCGCAGACTGTTATTTAGTAAAATCTCTAAAAGTAAAGAGCAAGTTAGTCTAAAGACCAGTGGAAAAAAACAACTGTTCAATGCATTTGTACATGGAGTTAACAGTGAAGTATTTCATTAGTCATGTTTTTACTTGGTGTCTTGAAATAATCCCTTTTCTGTCTCCATATTCCCACTTAGACATTGTTCACAGACTTATTTATTTATGAAGTCTGAAGGTTAGTCCCTACCTGCTGAGACTAATTAGCCCTGTTCTTTGTGTCCTATGCAATCCTGTCTGATTAAATGTACACATTTGTTTTACTTCTTTTCATGCTTCCTTTCAGTCTACTTCTGCTTTACTGATTAATATTAAAGTTGTAAGTTGCAGTGATTTTTTTATTTCTATTTTGTCTGCATCTTTCCCTTTAGTATGCAAATTTCTATGTGAACTTTTTAATGCCTGAGAATTTGTGTTAGCCTTGTCGATCTCTGTATTATTATTATTTTCATTATTCTTTTTATAGAAGACAGTTTAGCCGAAGCCCCCAAACTCTAAATATTGCATGACAAATTGGCTTTGTTTTGGAAACCCTATGTGCTGAATGGCCCTTAGCATGAGCAGCAGGTTAGATTTCTGAAGGAATGTTTGGATTATTTAGTACAGCCTGTCCCTTGCTTTCAAACACCATTTCCATTAGGCAATTTACTAATTTCCATTGAAATTACTGCCTCTTCCCTCCCCTGTCTTCTCCACCACCACCACCACCCCCCCCCCCCCCCCCCCCCCCAGGTCCCCTCCTTTTGTTCCTTGCCCATGTCAAAAGTTTCCAATTGACTTGTCCATTGTTACAATTTGTCACTGCTGGAAGATCAATTTGTTTTCCCCTTCCCCTCTCACCACATTATATTCGGGGAACAGATGCCATTTCTTGCATCCGCATTATTCTGCTCCCCATTTTGTTGCTGTGCCGGCAGAGCTCTGCCGAGTGACTTTACACAACAGTGACTTTGCAGACGCGCTCCTCAGACCCCGCAGGGCAGCAGTCCCTATTGGGGGGGGGGGGGGGGGGTCCGGCCGCGCTACCCCGCGGGTAACCCCCCCGCCGCGGGACTGGCCCGCTTTCACTTTGATTTGCCCCCAGCGTGATGTTTACGCCACCACAACTTTTCACTTCTGAAGTCTGGGAGTCCTTGATTCTCCGTCCTGCCATGCTAATTAACTTCTTAGCAGTCACATTCCTTTTCCTCCTCCCTTTTTCTTCCTTTTTTTTTTTTTTTTTTACATCAAGGACCAAATAATATTATGCCTTACTATAAAATAATTTGGAAACATCTGATCTTCAGCGAGTGATCTCGCACATTTTCATCCTGCGTGTTAGAACCATAATAAACGCGAGGAGCAAGTGCTGCTTAAGGGGAAAAAAAATAATAATAAAAGGCTTTTACTGTATTCTCGTGTTTATTATGGTTGGAGTTTCTTACCTCCAACGAGTGGCGAGAAAAAAAACGTTAACGGTTTAAAAACATAAAACAACCAACACCCCCAGCGCCCTGCCGTCACACGTACACAAATAATAAGGGCACACATCCTCCAGGAGCAATCCGGACTGCGAGGAGATGCTATGTTTATTAACGCTCAGGATGGAAAAGTTGGTGCTTTCCGAGGGGCGAAGACAGGGGCGCCAGTTTGGGTGCTGCTCCCCTCCTCTCTCCCCCCACCCCGGGTCCTGCAGCTCTGGGCTACAGCGCAGAGTTTTTATTCCATGTCAGTGTTTTCCTGCCCCCTCCCCTCCAGCTCCCATGCCAAAAAGGATCATTGTTAGTTTCCTACTTCCCCCACCCTCCTCCTCCTCCTTCCCCCCTCCCGCGCCCCAGACCTGTTTATTTATGCAGACGTCACCGTGGAGACCCCGCCCCCTCCTGCATCTCATTAAGTGCCTGGTGTGTTTCTCGCTCCCTGTCAATAATCCCGGATCCCAGACTTCTCCGTTCCTCCGGATTTCGATCCCCCTTTTTCTATCTGTCAATCAGCGCCGCCTTTGAACTGAAAAGCTCTCAGTCCAACTTCAACTCACTCAAACCCGAGCGGCACAGGCTTCCCAATATCCGCGGCGGCTGCCCCCCCGTTACAGCTGACTTCTTGGGTTGGTTTGTTGCATTATTATTTTTTTTCCTTCCCCCCCCCCCCCCTCCCCTTCGCCCCCTCCCCCCCCGTCTCTCTATTTTTTTATTATTACTAATTTTTCCGCGAGTGCGTGCGCGGGTGCGCGCAGTGCACGCCGAGCAGCTCCCTGGAAGAAAGAAAGAGAAAATCCCGAAGAAGGAAAGGAAGAAGCCTAAAGTCACTGGTGCAAAGAAGCAAAGAAGAGACATTTCCCTCCCCTCCTCCTCCCTCTTTTCCCCTCCCCAGGAGGAAAGAGAAGGGGAAGAAAAAAAAGAAACTTTCACCTTGGACTCTTCTTTTTTTGGTGCAAACTTTCCCCCCCCTTCTTTTTTCCTCCCCCCCCCTCCCCCCCATTCCCCTCCTTTTTTTTTTTTCTTTTTTTTTTTTCCCCCTTCCCCTTTTTGCAAAATTGCTGCTGGTGGGTGAGGCAGGAGGAAAATGCCGCAGCTGAACGGCGGTGGAGGGGACGACCTGGGCGCCAACGACGAACTGATCTCTTTCAAAGACGAAGGGGAGCAGGAGGAGAAGATCTCCGAGAACTCCTCGGCGGAGAGGGATTTAGCTGATGTCAAGTCGTCTCTCGTCAATGAATCAGAAACGAATCAAAACAGCTCCTCAGACTCGGAGGTACGGGGGAAGCCCCCCGCGGGGCCGGTTCGGGGCGGCGGGCGGGCGGGGGTCGCGCAGCCTCGCCGCGGCCGGGGGCGCCGGGTCCCGCTCCCGCCGGCGCCCAACTTTCCTCCGCGGCACCAACTTGTAACGATGCCTTCTGTTTTGTTCTGTTTGTTTCTCCTTCTCCCCGCACCTTTCCCGTCTTCTTCGCCTTTTATTCCTCCTCCTCCCTTCTCCTTCTTTTCTTACCCCCCCCCCCCCCCCCCCCTTAAAAACCCCCAAACAACTCACCCTCCTCCCCGACTGCCCCACGCCGACCCCCGGCTCTCTGGCAGGCCGAGCGGCGGCCCCCGCCTCGGTCCGAAACTTTCAGAGATAAATCCCGGGAAAGTTTAGAGGAAGGTGAGTACGGCGGGCCCGGCCGCCGCAGCCCCGCACCGCCCGCAGCCCCTCCGCCGGGCGCCCGGCTCCTCTTTCGGGGACACTTGCTAAACAAAGTTTTCCTTCCCCCCCCCCCCCATTCCTCCCCATCCTCTTTCCCTTCTTTCCCCCCTGTTGCCCCCTTCCCTTCCCCGTTCCCCGCTCGTGTCTCCCCGCCATGTTAGCTGCGAAGAGGCAAGATGGAGGGTTGTTTAAGGGCCCACCATACCCGGGTTATCCCTTTATAATGATCCCCGACCTCAGCAGCCCGTATCTGCCCAATGGATCGCTCTCTCCGACGGCGAGAACGGTAAGTGCCTTTTTTTCCTCCCCTCCTTTCCCACATCCCCCCCCCGCTCCCGCCGCGCTCCCCGTTGCCCCTCTCGCCGCCCCCCTTTCCTCCCCCCGTTCTCCCCCCAGCGCCGCAAACCAAACTTTCCAAACTTCGCTTTTGGGGGTTTGTTTACACTTCGCCAATTTTTTTTTTTTTACGTTCTTTTTATCCCTTTTTTCCTTTTTTCTTCCCCCCTCCTTTTTTCCTTTTCGTTTTGTTTACTTTCAGTTTTGTGGGCAGATTTTTTTGGAGCCCTCTAACCTCCCCTGCGGGGGGGTTGGAAGAAAAAGAAAACCCAAACAAAATCCAACCACCACCTAATCCAGCCTCAAAACAACAGGAAATCATAACAAAAACACACGACAACCCAAGGAGTTACTTTTTTTTGGGGGGGGGAGGGGTTGTCTGATTTTTTTTCTCGTTCCCTTTTCCCCCCATCTCGCTGGGGACGGGGGGGGTGTTGTATTTTCTCCCGGCCCAGCTTGGGATCCGCTCCCTCCAAACTCTCCGTTTTCCATGGAGATCCGTCGCCTCCTGCCCTCCTCCGTGGCGGCTGGGCCGGCTCCCCCTCCCCTTTCCTCCCCATTAACCCTCTCCTGCCCTCGCCCGCCCCGGCCTGCGGCGAAGGCGATTTCCTTGTGCCCCTCCCGGCCGTGGACGCCGCGAGTTATGTCCGGCCTCAGCGCTGCCGGCCCTGCGGCGACTCCGCGCCCTTCGTCCCTCCGCGCCCGCCGGGAGCGCGGCACCGTGCCCGGTACCGGCCGGGGCCCCTCCTCACCTGGGCTGTGCTGCGGGCGGCGGCCCCGGCGCGGCTCTGCCTTCGGGAGCGCTGTGCGGAGCAGGGGGGAGGAAGAGCCGGAGGGGTCAGGGCAGAGCGGAGGGCTGAGTCCGGAAACAGAAATCGCCTCGGTTAGCTCTAACAACGGCGGCAGCAACAACCGAAAATAATCAAACAACTCGAGCAAAATTCCTTCTGGAAGTGTGCTGGCAGGAAAACAATTTGCTGAAAGCGGCCGGGCTTTTGTTGTTGTGGGTTTTGTTGTTTTTTTTTTTCTCTGTTTTGATTTTGTTTTTTCCCTTTCTTTAACCCAGGGCTCGGCGGGGTGTGCTCGTCCGCACGCCTGTGCCTGGGGGTAGAGCAAGTTTTAACCCAGATCTCAGGGAAACTTTGGGGTCTGCTGGTTGGGTTTGTAGTCCCGGCTGGTTTTCCGCTTGTAGCGTCACCCTCGGTGCGCTCTGCTCTGACGTTAGGTTTCTCCAATGTCACCTTTTCGTTCCTTTTTAAAGAGTTTTTAATGCTTTTTGGCTAAAACCACCGGGACTACAAAAACACTCCCTACCGATGGGTTTAGCATTGCTGTTTTGGTTCTTTGAAACCTGAAGCGTCCTCGCCATCACCATGTGTGTGTTTATACACTTCCCCCCCCTCCTTGTGGTAACACGAGATAGCGATTTACAATAATAGATGCACTGTTTGGTAGATGTTGAAGCTGTACTAATGACCGAGGGCTTGGACAACTCGGGTGTATCAGATCTACAAGTGTTTAAAAGCATTAAAATATTAAACATCGGGTCGGTCTTGCTTTCACTTAGTAGAACGTCAGTATAGGCACGGGTTAGTAAGCGCAGAGTGGCAGGGAGGTAGCGAGGGAGGTTTTCTGGCTTGGCGTGTATTTAGGGCTGTGGTAGGGATTTATGTTGGTCACTTCTAAGGCTCTTCTTGCAAGGAGGTGATTTCTGGGACCCTGGCATGGGGGTGACTGCCGTTTGCAATTGTAATGATTGGGAGGGGAATTCAGGGGCTTGAATGCATTATATTTTTCCTTTTGAATACACTCACCCACATGTATATGGATGATGGTGATAAATTCCAAATTCTATAAGCACCAGGATCCAGATGGCACAACAATCTTTGTTACAAATCACTTTGTTGCAAATTGTGAAGCTTTGTGTTCTTTTTTGTTTTTTAATCCCCTTCCCCTCCTTTTTACCTTAAATGCATTCCACTGTTCCAAGGGTAGGCTAATAGGAAGCATACCTCTGCTGCCTTTTTCTTTAAGCATTTTTCTTTCTATAGCTACTTCTTTATTTTTTCCTCATTACCTTTATTATATATCCTTTCCCTCCTAGCATGTGAGGATAGGATGCCATAGCAGTTAGCTTTCCTGGCAGTCTCCTTCTTCCCCATGCTTCTTCCACAGTTAAAAAAGGCCTCCATAGGAATGCTGGGTTTGTGTGAATTCAAGGTGCTGTGCAGCAGATTCCAGGTTGGGTTATTGTTGGTATGGCAGGTGGCCTGCTTGTGTTATCTGATGAGTTCTGAAAGGATATTTCCACACTCGATAGGCGATTTTAATTTTCTTATTTCCACATCCAGGCTCTAGCAGCCTTCTCCTATCTTCTTAACCTTATTCTTTCACATTCTGTATGCTTGTTTGTTTGCCTGCCACTTAATTATAGCTGGGAAAAATTAAAGTTGTTTATTTAGGCCTAAGAGCAGAATATTATAAAGATTCAGCGGGGTAGCTGTTGGCTGTCACACACTGTTCTGAGGTGGATTCTAGTTCTCTGCTGTACCAGCTTTGAATTCCAGGCGAACTAGATCTTTCTCTTGTTTTTTTTTTTTTTTTCCTCTCTCTTTTTTTTAATACAGGTTGAACATGTATAAATGATTCTACATAATTATGGATTTGATTTTTATTTATGTAGTTTATCCTGAAGCCATGTTTGTTGGGTTTTAGAGCATGCAAGGTAAAGAGGTGATGCAGATATGTAGCAAAATTGGTTTTCCTTTTCTTTTGCTGTTGTAGAATATTAAAGGTCTGTGGGTGTGGTTAGCTTTTACATTTTTGGGTTTGTTTTATTTTCACCCTGGATTTTTTCTCTTTTATTTGGGGATGTAGCAGGGTTATTGTGCTTTGTAAACGTACCTGTAATTGTCTGTTCAAGAGCAAACTCGTGGGCAGCAATTTCAGGAATGTGGAGAATTACGAAGTATCATAAATTCTGCTTATGATAAATAATATATTAAATCAAGAATAATGCTTTAAATGCTGCAGACTCTACGAAGCTTGATAGGAACAATTTTATTTTTAAAAGTCATAGATTTTTTTTTTTTTGCATGCTAATCTTGCTTCTGATGGAATACTGTGGATTGCTTTTGAGAATAGATGTGTATTAAATAGAAGTCTAGTCAAATAGTCATGAAGTAATGCATCTGACAGTGCCAGTGCCATACCTGTGTGTGCAGAGGGGCTGGGGTAGCTGACTGTTGGGGAGAATAAAAAGGATAATGTTTTCCATTAGAGCTGGAAAATGAAGAATTGGTGTGTTTAATTTTTATCCTAAATCTAGAGCTTGGTTAATGCTTTCGGTGAGGAAACAGATGCATTGTGATTTGAGAAAACCCTGCTGGCAGTTAGTCTTACTTTTGCTGGTGCTGTTTTATCTTCCTTTCCCTTAAATTGAGGCTTGCTGAGTGAGACTGTAGGAGTAAGCTTGTGTCTGGTCCTGAAGTTCGGGAATTGGAGAGAGCTGTGGTGGAGAGCAGCCCCCTCGCCCAGATTTTTTACATTCAGGAGGATACTTTTTTTCTGTAATTGACTTGAAAAATGGATGTTTTCCCTCCATCTGCTGAATCAAACAACATAATCCTTCCCAATACAAAAGCTGAAAGCCCTGGGGTGTGAAGGGTTAATGGTGGTCCTTTTTTTTTTCCTCCCTCCAATTGTTTTGACAACACTTTTCAAAGTGTGACATTCCAAGCCCTTGCAATACAATGTAATATTACTGTAATTACACAGGTCATTACATTTTAAATAGAGAACAATAAAATGCTTATCGCACTGAAAAAGAACAGGTGTTCTTGCCCTTCTTTGGTATTTATGCTAATTGTTTTTCATCTCCTTCAGAAATATTTATGGCTGGCGTGTTAAGGTCTCAGTCCCGATGTGACAATATTAATTCTTTACTAATCTTTATGGTTGAGGTTTAATGTCTGCAGTATGGATTATAGTATTAATGTCCACCAGCTAGTTTAATAATGTAGATACAACTTAGTATGTCAGCACTTTGGTACTTTATGATACATAGCTATTCAGTGGGGAGTGAATTATTTGATTTATATTCTTTATTTTTTTTTTAATTGAATGGACATGATTTTAATAAAGTTTCTGGACTTGTGTAAAAACAAGCTATTAAATAAGAACTGATGATCCTGTGGTGTAAATCAAATGGAACCTCCATAAAGAAACTTTCCTCATGCTTAATTAGGTAGATTGCTGAATCACTTTGCTATAGCATTAGCATAGCTGGTATACACTGGCAAACAGACCGTGTTTGTTAACTTCTTTTCTGTAAAGAAGCTGATTTATTTGTAATTCTCCTCTTTTTCTTATTTATTGATTTTTATATATAATTTTTTAACTTCCCCTGATAAGATTTCATTCTGGAGCAAATGCTGCATGGCTGAGTCAATCAGCTTCTCTTTAGGGGGCTATGAAAATTAGTTGGAGAGAAGTTTCATGTTTCTGGGCCCTTGCAAAACAATATAATGCAGTACTGTTACTTGAGTGTACAGGATAATTGCAGGACTGCACTTCATTAAACATAATATTTGCTTTGGAAATCGAACAATTTTAATAGGTGCACCAGTGGCTGATCTGTACTGAAAGAAAGAAAATACAGTAGGTGCCTTTCCAGGTTTTTTGAATGCATTCATACATGGGCTGATGATGTTAAGTGGGGTGGGTTTTTAGCCCCCCCCCCCCCTCTTCACTACAAATCAGCACATATTTTTTTTTGTTCAAGAGCTGAAGAGGGGGGGGGGGGTTGGAGGGTGGGGGTGGGAAGAGTATGGTGTAGCTTTCATTGGAGCTTGTAAACCGGAATGTAGGTAGAAATGGTTTAAATTTGTCAAGACTTTCATGACTGGGCCCCAAAATCAGATAAAAAATGTGGTGTAGAGAAAAAGGACA